TCACGAGATGGGCGAAACTTTGGAATGAAGCGTATTTGAAATGTCAAACACGTAATGCCCGACGCCGTTCGGGTGCGTCGTTTATGTTATTTGCCGAATGGCACCAGATACGCCTGTCTTAAGGCCTGTTAAGATCGTCTAGAATCATGTTTGTTGTGTCGTCGCTAAACCTGTTGGCCGTACCGGGTATATGAAGTTGGGTCGTGGCACGGCGATCTTCATCCCACAGATTATGCAAAGCACCATTTATCTTGAATTTTGGCAAGACCAGAGTTAACTAACCATGTCTTTTCACACACAATCTTTGCTGATTGTTTCGGCCATAAGATTGTGATTACCGTACTTCGAAATATTGAGTAGTTTAACGTGGAAGACACCAAGGCATACAAAAACCTCGTAGGCAGCCAATAAGAAGCAGCAGCGTCTCACGACGCACTAAAGTTGACGGTTACAAAACAAAAATGACGCTATGTTTGCACATAGTACTCCCACTGAGTTGATGTGCTGATGTCACGCTGTCGATTATTTGATGATCAAAGCATGCACTGAAATTGAATTATAAACATAGCCCAGCCCAATGCGCTGATATGCAGCCGATGCCAAATTCGTATATACAACACGAAAGCTAACTCTTATGACGTAGATAAAAAAGAAACACAATGTTTCATAAAGGGTATTTGCTCTGAGCCACGTACATCATTGCACTGCTGCAAGCGTCGCCCCGGTCATTGGCTCGTCCAGCAACGCACTAAAGGCGCTACGCAGTCGGCATTTATTTCTTGCTGGCACCGAACCAGCTGATACGCAAAAGGCCTATGCCAATGCAATATTTGTAATCTTGTGGTTAACTGAACACCCAGCAAAGCGATCATCAACTGAGATAGTGATGTGCTGAAAAGCAGAAGAGCCAATGCAACAGGAAATGTTGTTTAAGAATAAGCCTGGCCTGTGTATTGCATTGATTCAATCGGGTCCTCATCCACGTTGCCTTCACTTGAAATTTCTGACATCGCACTGCTTTCCTCTTTTCTTTCTCCCCTTCACGATGAGCAGTATCACATCATTTTGCCGTACCAAACTCGACGCCTTATTCGTGGACTACAACTTTCTGCTTTGACCAGGCCTTAGACAGATTAGAATCAGTTGCCGGCATTGATGTTACAGGTGTCGTAGAAACGAACAGACGCCCCAACGTTTTTTCGATGCCAACCAGTTCAAGAACCGACTCCCTATAAAGCTGCTAAAAAGTTTTCAACTTTACACGCACAAAGCGCCTCAGCACGTTTCTGTTCCTGTTCCAACAACTTCATAGCTTCCTTTTGTGAGCAGATCTTGCACAGGCCAGTCTTATTCTAGCTAATTTTTTGGTATTTCTGTTGCAGTGGCTGCTGCATTTTCGTTTTGTCGCTGTATTAGTTGATGATCAGCAAGCTTGGGTGTTCAGTTAACCACAAAGTTACCAAATATTGCATTAGCATAGAGCCTCCATTTTGCACGTGCTCCAATCCCAGCTGGTTCAGTGCCAGCAGGAAATAAATGCACCGACTGCGTAGCGCATCGACCTTTGGGTGCGTTAGACGGACGAGCCGATGACTCAGGGCAGTACTTACCAATGAATTCACAATGAGTAAGTACGTGGCTCAAGGTGGCTGCTATAAAGTTATTGTGTACTTTTTGTCTACGTCTCATAGAGATTAGCTTTCGTGTTGTATATACAGATTTTGGCATCGAGCACGCTGTCAACATACGCATTGGGTAGGCTTATGTTTATAATTCAATTTCAATTGCACATCTTTGATCCTGCATCAAATAATCGACAGCATTGACGTCAACACATCCAGCTCAGTTGGGATGCCTCAAGATGTGCAAACTCGTCGCATTACATTTTTTGTTTTAATAACCGTCAACGCAGGTCGCGTCATCTCGGAAGACGCTGCTACTTCTTATTAATACCTACGAGGTTTTTTGTATGCCTTGAGTGTCTTCCACGTTCGCTTCTTTTTCAATATTTCAAGTACGACAATCACGAATCATACGGCTAGACCAGAAGTGGTAAATTAATGTAAAGAGCTGATGCCTTTTCAAAGTATCAGCTCACCTTCTTACAATGATTTACCACTTGGCCTGTAAGATGCCAAAATTTAAGCTAAATAGTGCTTTGCACGCTAATCTGTAGGATGGGAACCGTGCGGTAGCGCATTTATGCAATACGGCTACAGCATTTTTAGCGACGACGCAACAAAAACATGATTCTAGACGATCTTGTAGGTAAAACCAAAGACGAACATCTAGTTGCCATTCAGCAAATAGCACTAAACCTTCAAACGCTCAGGTAAACGTCGGGCATTGCAGTATTTGGTCGATAGGTATAAATTACACTTCATTCCAAAAAAAGATTTCGCCCATCTCGTGACTGCAAAGAAATGATTATTTCTAAGCTAATCGTGTCGCTTTTGGCTATCCCTACGCTGGTTGCTCATGCGATTGACAGCAGCATATGCACGCTCGGACACTCCGAAAAGTGCGCAATTGATTCACTCAAACTAACAATGATGATGGTAGTGTTCTCGTTTACCCTGCGGGTAAGACACGTTGTGCGTTCGATGACTACTCCGACAACACTACAGTATTCGCGACAAGGTCGACGTACTTCTTCTAAGTGTTCCCAAATCAGAATCAGGACAAGTCAAAGTTGCTGCTTTACTTTCAGGAAGGAGGTGGCTGCATTGGTAAGGACACATGTAACTTTGTCCTGCAGTGCTAACTTGGCGCCGAAGGCAACCCTTTCAATGACTGGAACATTGTGTTTCTGCCATACTGCACTGGGGATATCTTTGTTGGCGATACGTACTTGGAGCCTTTCGAAAGTAACTTTAGTCAGTTACTTGGAAACAAACAGTGTCTAGGCCAAAAACGGGGCATTTATCTAAATGGTTATAACAACGCGAAGGCTGTGCTGGATTGGGCTCTCGAAAATTTTCCTGACCCGAAGCATTTAGTTATAGGTGGATACAGTGCGGGATCGCTGGGTGCGCAACTTTGGTCGGCAAAGGCTGCTGCTATGTAGCAGGTCAAGAAGAGGTCGATTAAGTTTCAAGTATTGGCGGACAGCAACGTTGGTGTGTTTCCGGAACACCCGTCAGCGACAAGCTCAATTATTAACTTCTTCGGCGGGTGCAATGTAGACCTCTACTTTCATAAGTCGATGGTCGCGAAGTGCCAGGAAAGACCGCAACTTTTACTGAGTTGGTTAACGCACTGATAAAGGAAGTCTTTAAGAGCGAGTGGTTGTTCATCAACAGTATCGCGGATCGCACGGAACGCTTATATTATGAGCTAGTGCGTTTGGGTATCGCAGGTTACCCATATACAACGCTAGTAGATGCTGGCGAATTCTACGGCAACATGACGAATATTTTAGACTCGCATTCGCAACAGACAAATGTGGCGCGGTTCACTAGCAAGAAGCGTACACAGCACGTGACCGATCGTGTAGATCAGGTCACTGCAGGTTCGCATGCTTCCTGGTGTGAGCTGCTGCACTGGACACATGACACAGAGCTTTTTGTGCATTTGCTGATGCCACGTGGCAGAGGGAGTATGCAACTGGGTTAAGCAATCGACGCGAACAAAGTGAAGGAGACCCAGGCGCTGGGTAGATCACATGAAGAAAAGGTTATACGTGATGAAAAGTATCACCAGAAATATCTAAGATGGATATTTTATCAAAGTAAGTCCTTTTAAAGTACTAACGAGAAACCCTAGAAACGCTGAGGTATCCAGATGAGGGACGCTACTGGAGCACTATAGCCGCTGCAAGCCTTGCCTACAAAATATAGAAAGCATATTTAAGGCAGGCTGAAAAGCTGACACCAGCAAACTTGTCTAAACTAATATTCTAAAGGCGTTTATCACTTATTTATTAATTTATCACTTATTTATTAGCTATACTAGTTCCGCCGCAGATGTCTTTGCTATTGTAAGCTTTGGCTAGGGCAGCTAAAACTAAACATAAATATAAAACTTTTTGATGCACCAGGAAAAACCAGACGCTTTTGGAATATCGTCAAGGATACAAACAGCCATCTCTTCTCTCAGGTAATCGTCACACCAGTTAGTAGCAAGAACGTCCTCCACCACACGAAGTCTGCATATGTATTAACTGACGCCCGATGATAAAGCCTTCTGATACACGGAGGTGGCTATCATGAAGCCCTTTTACTGGCCTAGACACAAAGCTCAATAGACTGGCTGCTGGATCTTGCAAGTGTTGACCACAATGTCCCAAAGCTTATCCATACAACTTAAAATCCTGTGCAAGTCACTTCTAAGCCTCTTTGCCCCAACCTCAGTAGCGGCCATGGTTGATAGCGTCATAAAGTAACAAGCAGATAAAGACTGACTCCATTGATGGCAATAGGCACGTCACTGCATCCCAGAACTGCTCACCGGAGATTTTTGAAAGCACATTGCGCGATGACTCCATCGCCGCCAAAATCAAGATTGAGGGGAACAATGCTCAGGATGAACCTAATAGACTTTCTTGGCCAACCATTAGCTCGTTCGCATCTACGAAAGGATAGGATTACGGGAGTTACCATCTTTTGCGGCCCTGAAAGTAAAGTAAGGACTTACAAGACAACCTGCGTTGAAATCCTGATTCCCTCAACCAAACAGCAGGGACACAGACTGCATTGTGATCGGGCCCCAGTAGCAAGATGCAACATCTCTAATGGAAGTAGACGGAACGAAACCCGTATACTTGTATTTAATGAGTTCCCGCTTATTATAATGTACGTTCTTTCCTTAAGGGGACACAGAATTGCCGTACAGACATTCTTTCTTGCATTAACTGATAATTCTACTTGTCTATATCACTTATTTTTCTTGGATCATCAACACGCGCACAGAACGACGGCAAAAAAACCTAGTGCAATTCCATTCACACTCTGATAATGTTTAAGGCAATTCTTATGATAAGGGCAGAACTCTGAAGAATACGTACCGGTATATCTGCAGCATGCACTAAGGACACAATCCAACAACCACCACTAACAATACATTCAAATGATGCTGCAGAGTAATATAGTAGACGACAATCGCAGTGAGGCCGGGATGTTGTAAGTCCGGTTTGAATTTCGGCTTTACATTCCAGTAATTTCATCAAGCTAAACAAACAGAGAATTGCATTGTCTGTATTGGAACAAGCCGCGCTCAAAAAGCAGGTGTTTATGTTGCAAATGCTTTTGCGTTGTAGCTATATAATCACGCCCCCTCGTGATCTTATGAAAGCTAATGGATCAAAGTCTCATGATTTGCTGCCCGTACAAACAATGGTCCATCACATTACAACCTTTTTTCAATCTGGGCATTCTAATACCATCTTGCGTCACCTCAGTCCCTAGTTTAGTGTTTGATTGTTTCGTACGCAACTAGAATCAACATTCAGGATACAAAACCATAATTCCATCGCGCTATTATTCCCTCTACCACTAGTGCCAAGGTTTTCTTTTATATTTCAATGCTAACTCTTTTTTAGCATCTTACCGCTTGTGGTAAATTTGGCAAAGGTTTTTTCAACAGATGCTCAAAATGTGTAAGAAGGCAAGCTTTGAATGATAAGCCAATTGTACTGTACGAGTATAATTTACAAGCTATCCAGTAACTGTGCAATTTATCTTTTAATTAAACCAAAAGATAAACTATATTTCTGTCTACTCTGGTTGTTACTACTATAAGTATTAGCTTCTCAACGGATACTCGACTGTATGCACCAAATTATTCTGGTGCTGCGCAAATTACTATAATTTATAACTGTGTGTGCATATGCTGCACGTGGTTAACTAGAATAACAGCGTTAGATGCGATAAAACGACAATGCGGACATTTTTGTCTCTCATCTTCTGCAAAGTTCTGCACGCCTCTCGGTGGCGTATTAGTAATCGAACGGGATGTCAATGTCACCACTGCCATTGCCGGTTCCAAGCCAAACATCCTTCGTCCACCTAACACTGCAATCCGGTCAGGCGCATTAACAACGTGATCACTTTGCACATGAGCAACCAACGCTACAGCATCGCAAGTTGTATACGGACAGTATGGGCATCGGCTTCCTCCTGACAGTCGCTGCCTGGGCAGATGGGCAAAACGCGGAGCCTGGATTTCTGACCTGGGCGGGATATAGCTCTTGAAAATACCTTGAGCTGGCTCCTCGTTTGTTCCGACCACATAACCAGCGCGTGGCCCAAGCAATAACTATTAGCAGCACAATCACACAGCCCACGATAATAGCGAGCGCCCAAGTAGACCAGAAAGACTTGCTATCATTTGTAGCCGCTATTCCCGACGTGGATCCAATGACGCTGGAAGACGCTACGAACGCAAACTTCTGATAGTCCGCCAGCAGCACACTTCGGCCGTAAACAACAGCTTCAACCACTATCTCTCCATTGTTTCCAAGTGCTAAGCTATTTGTTCCATTTTCACTGCCACTGCTACTTGTGTTGCTGTCAGTGGCAGCAGCGAGAAGATCGGCGTAAGAAACCTGCACCATCTCAACGTTATTCAGCGAATCCCTTCCAGTGTTTGGGTCAGCTGTCAGTGGACCAAACATTTCAGTGCCATTGCGCACGCGAACAACCAAGTCCAGATCGTGCTGCAATTGCGACGTCGCCTGAACTGACCCTGGCGGATCAGTCCACACGAGAGTCGCTCGCAAATCCACACCGCGAGCTACCGTAAACGAAATCACTATTTCACCTCCGTGTGCGACTGCTGGCTCGCTATTTTCTGTCGAGTTTGGCAAGAAATACAATGACGGTGGTCCATTGCGGCTGCCATTGCCACTATTGTTGACGCTCAAGCTAGTAAAATCCACAATGTTAGTAAGGTTTGGTTTGCCATAGCCTTGGTAGACGTCTGGAAACGTCACGTCGATAGAATTCGAGGCTAACCTTGTACATGACACAAAACCGCTTGTGGGTAACGCACCCATCCGCTTATGCAAAGAATCTCCACTGTGAATAAGTAACGCCTTAAGCAAAGAAGCAGGAATCGTACTCAGAGCATATGCAGCATTTTTGCGTCCGTCCTTCCACCACCCATCGCAAAGCCACTCATACAGAAGCACAGCAACACCAGTTACCACTGGTGTCGCCTGTGACGTGCCCTGGAGTGAACACGTTGCCGAGCTTTCTCTCATTGTTCCTGGGGCCTCCGATTGACTTGATATAAGACTCATCCCAGGTGCTACGACATCAGGTTTCATTCTCCCGTCTGTTGTAGGCCCGGCAGATGAAAATGATGCTACCGTGTGCTCGTTCATAATATCGGGGCATGCGTAGTCCATGAAAGATGCCGCTGAGTTGAGTGATGCCCCGACTGATATTACATTTTTAGCGCCAGATGGTGACGATATGGTGCGCTGACCAGTGATGGACGACTCGCCACTATTGCCTGCCGCCGCAACCACAAGAACATCCGAATTTTTGTAAATAAAGGCGTCCAAGTCTCTGGCTTGCAAACTATAATCCGATCCAGCCGTACCCCATGAAAACGAGAAAATCTTAGCGCCTGCATCAATTTGACTTACCAGCAGATCACTGGCATCGGCAGGTGTGGCCAACGATACAGCGCAGTTTAACTCACCCGCACACGTCTCACTTTGCATCCCAATGTCCATAAATGCTATACGTGCCTTGTTCGCGATCCCCAAATCAGCATTTTTACCGCTAAATGAACTACCAGCCAAAAGGCCTGCGACGTGGGTACCATGACCACAAGTAATTGTCTCCGCTTCATCTGCTTTATTTGCCCACGCATTGTACATGACCACTTTTCGAGCCGACATCACCATACGAGAGAACACATCACGATCATCTTGATCAAACTGATCGAGATACAGATAAAGTCATACGGAGAATGAAACCTGATGTCGTAGCACCTGGGATGAGTCTTATATCAAGTCAATCGGAGGCCCCAGGAACAATGAGAGAAAGCTCGGCAACGTGTTCACTCCAGGGCACGTCACGGGCGACACCAGTGGTAACTGGTGTTGGTGATTCTGTATAGCCACACGAGGTTCGTCTCGGATAAACTCATAATCTCAAACTTTCAGCCTCTGGCCAGCGCTACCTTCTGATACATCTTAGAATGTCCGCAGCAAACAGATAGGCCTCATCGCCCCCTGTATTAGCCCGTATTTCCACAATCGAGCTATTTTCGTCTACTTCGTCACGTGGCAGCATGATCCGGACGACCTCATTCTCTAGTCGGTTGATACCTATCAACAACTCTCGACGTCATCCTCCGCCATACGACGCAGCTCCGTGGCGTCCGGGTCATCGACTTTCCGCCTGCTCAGCAATCATTTCATCCAGCTCTTTCGCCGCGTTTTGCTGATTTTGCAATTCACGTACTACCGTCACTTTGGGTTCCAGCTCTGCCATTTCAATCGACAAAGCTGTGATCTTGTCTGATGAAAAGCTACCGTCGTTGCTATAACAACATCATTTTGATACAACAAAAGTATACGTTAGTCACACAAGTTTATCCGCCTACGTAGCTTTTCGAATATAGAACAAAACACTAGAGAAAGATACAAGGAACAGCAAACCTACTGCGATAATTCGTGCGCTAGGTCATCGTAACGACGCCACAGCAGGTCCATCTGACTTTGAATAGCTGAAGGCAATGAAAAGTCACGGGTATGGACCACATTCAGCTGCCACAAGTTGAAATCATTTAATGAAGTAGATTGTACATATTGGTGCAATCGAAATACTCGAGTCAGCACCCGACGGCGTCTTCGTAGCCAATACCTTCCAGTGCCTAATATTGTCGTGTGGTTTACAACTAACGATGCTATGTGATAGGTTTATATTTGATTAGAAATAGCAGCAAATGAAGCCTTGATAGTTTTATAGTGTCCTTTTTACCGACTGTGGACATAGCTAGTTTCAATTTGTATAGCAAATTCAAGAGTAGCTATACTATAATTAATAACTGCTTCTACCAGTGAACTAACAATGATAATCATCTATATACAAAATATCTGCTAGCCCACTTTATCTCGAACTGAAAAGTCGTTGGCTATTTTTGTTAAAATCAAGCCTGTCCTATGAAAATAAGTGCACGATTGAATTGCTCAAAAGAATCAGAAGCCATAGTACAAGCACTAGAGACAATGATTATAAAATAATTGCAACAAGATGAGCCCGACAATGATGGTTTTACCATCAATAAAAGTTGACCACATGCATCGTTCAGGTATAATAAAAACGACCAGATGACAGTTGAAATGACGCCAAGTTCTTGTGATGATAAAAGCATTGATTGCTGCAGAAACTGCGGCTTGGAAGCGTATTGTACGCTCATAAATGAAACCACTGGATCTAGGCATTATCAATATCACACGTAACACGTGAGTCTAGTGACGAGCTAGTACGAACGTTGTAGACCTAATAAATACATTGCGTGACGTCAAAAGTGTTCTTTGCAGTGATCGGCCACTTTCCGTTGCAGTGGTCAACCAGTTGACGAAGGCAGTTTGCTTGTTGTTCTCGATCTAGCAAATGTAAGCTGCATTTCTGTATTTATATTCCGATCTAAATGTAAGCTTTGATAGACGTTTGCGTTGGGAAAGCACAAAATGTCGTTGGATCTTTGCTGTTGTCAGTATCAATTCGACTGCTAGGCTAGAAACGCGCCAAAAAGGGCAGTAGTTGCATGTTAAAGGAAGAAATTGAACGACAATGGTTTTGGTCCAGCTACAGCCAGACCTGCGTGCGGTGACACAAGTTTCAAAACACTTACAAGATGATGCAGAGCCTCTTGAGTACTTTTCGTACTCGAGATTCTTGTAAGTTAAGCGTTAGTTGGCACGACGTATCAAGACGATTCACTTGCTTTTCTACAGTTGTAATGGAAGTGCCAAGATGGACAATGAAAAGCAAAAAGCCAACGATAAACGCACGTGACCGATCTATGACAGGAAAAGGTCGAGAAGGCTAAAGACAAGCTCATCTGTTCAAGCATGTCGAGTAGATGCAACTAGAAGATGAAAGCAACAGCTCTGGCCTGCATATGAGAACCGCAACGAGGTCTATAACGCTTTTCACGCCTTGAAAGCTCTGAGTAAATGTGAGTGCTGACAGCCTCTGTAGCTTCTTGACGACTATAAAGCGTAGGGTTGGTGCAAGGATGGTACTTGTTTGTCGTCCGTACATTGTTTTTGACAAATGTAGACTTGGAAGGCGCTGATGAGTTTGAGCTACGTTATATTGCCGTGATAAATCCTCGTTGGTAATTAGGCACCCCTACTTCCGTACGCCACTCCTCGACCGTCTCCGCTCCTCGACCGTCTCCGCTCCTCGACTGTCTCCGCTCCTCGATTGTATGCCGCTCTTCGACCATCTTCCGATCCGAGACCGTATCCGCTTTTCGATCGTAATCGACTCATTGACTGTAACCCGCTCGTCGATCGTGTGCCGATACTCGACCGTACCCGCTCCTCGTTCATGTGCTTGTCGACCATCTGTAGCTCATCACCCAAAGGTTGCTCACCGATAACATGTCGCTCGTCGACCGTATGCCGCTCGTCAATCGTACGCCGATCCTCAATCGTATGCATCTGCCGCTTTTTTTACCATCTACCACTCCTCGACTGTAGGCGGCTCCTCGTTATATGCCGCCTCTTGTTATATGCCGGCGATTCGACCATCTGCAGCTCGTCGAATGATCCACTCGCCAATTGTATGCAACTCCTCGACCTTATGCCGCTTCTCGTCTGTAGCCGCTCCTCGATTGCATGCTGCTCTGTAACCATCTGCCGCTCCTTGTTTTTTGCTGCTCTTCGACCATCTGCCGCCCGTCGGCCGTATCCGCTCGTCAATTGTATGTAGCACCTAGACCGTATGTCGTTCGTCGACGTTTGCGGACCCTCGATCGTATCCGCTTCTCGATTGTAATCAACTCGTCGATTGGCTCGTCGACCATATGTCGCTCATCACCCGTATGTTGCCCCACAGCTACATGCATACCACTATAACGGCAGCCGATGCGCCATTCGAGCAAAGCTGGCATGTAGTCTGCATCGTCGATTGTCAGGGCTCGGTGTTTGGAAAGGCGTATTGCGTATGCTGCAAAGCTAGTATAGAAAAAAGTGTAGATCGATGGACAATCGCTTATAGTATCGATGAATGCATATGAATTGACATGCTTCAGACATAATCGCATAATCGCACATTGGATACATGATAGCAACCTTACCTTGCATTGAGTGACTTTCGTTGTTGTAAAAGTGACAGCTACCATCTCTTTGGCGTTAGAATTGCTACAGCGAGTTTATGTTCCTTTACAAAATCCTACATGAAGAAAACCGAGCCTATGTAACTTTGGGAGCGGCAGCACAATTTCTTAAGCTGCAGGCTAGATTACGACTAGATTGTGAACAGATCTGAAGATTGCTCCAGAAGGACATCTGGGTGGATAGGCAATATGACAACGTCTGCAAAAAAAGGTAATGCTGCACGTGCCATAGAAGATTAGACATTGACAGGTCATATAATACTTTTACCAATCAAAAGGGGCAGAAGCGTAGAGCCACCAAGAGCTCTCAAGATCTCATTGTCTGATGAAGCTTATAAATCTGGACAGATGCGAGAAAGTTTGGATTTAGTGCAAAGCACAGGAGCTTTACAACGCGACGCAGCATACGTTCGTTACATAAAACAAACCAGGAATCGGCTGTCGTTAGACAGATCCCTAACTGTAGCCGATTTCCTGTCTAATCCGAATGATAAAATATGCTCAGATTTGATCCGAGAGATCGAAATACTACAATTGTATTATAGTCGTCCCAGCTATGATTTGCAGTGTACTTCAGTATGGAGAATTAGTCTGGTTTGAAAAATTTCAGCTGGATTCAAGTGGGCTTTGTATCTGACGTCAGAATACTACATGTTTAGGAAACGGCTGTCTGTTGTTTTCAACCAATCATAGCTGGTTGTACATATGAAAAACGGCTAGTTAAGGTCACTCAATTCCATCATATTTCATTTTGCTCTTAAGCTTAAACTCATTGATTTTAGAACCCACCGCAACTCCGTTTTTGCATGCCAACATGTGGCTCGTTGTCGTCATGCTGACATTATTGGGTACTAACGTGGCCACCGTGCAATCGGTTTCCGACGAGGCCAAGTATGCCTCATCCGCTTTGACTCCGCCGATCGCAGGTGACGACACCAGTTTTGTGAAGCGGCATTTGAGGTCCATGCTCACTAGTGACCCTGCCACCACCAACATTGAAGAGAGGGTAGCTGTTCCAAAGTTTCTAGATTTGCCATCAAACGTTCTATCAGAAGGGTTGACGAGCGTCAAACATGGATTGGCAAAATTTCAGAGGTGGCTGGTGAAAATTCTAAAGCGAGTTAGTCTCAAAAGGCAAAATGATGAAGTAAGTCTCAAAAGGCAAAATGATGAAGTAAGTCTCAAAAGGCAAAATGATGAAGTAAGTCTCAAAAGAAAATGATGAAGTAAGTCTCAAAAGGCAAAATGATGAAGTAAGTCTCAAAGAGAAAATTTTTGGTGAGAAAGATCTCAACAAATTAAGTGACAAAGACGTTTTTGAAGAGGTCATCACGAAGGTCAAAGATCTTGGACTTGAGCCTAAAGCGTATAAACTGATGGCCCAAGATAAGGGATTTCGAGTCCGACGAGGCATTAATGAACGTTCAGGCATTAGTAGAAGCTGTCGGATATGAACGAGCTGTTAAAGTTCTTAAAACAATGGCTCAAACGATTCTAAACATGGTGAGATGGCTATGAGGATGTATATATTTTGCAGCCTTTACAGAAATATATTTTCTTTCGCAGGAATCCAAAGACGTTGCACAAATTCCCTAAGAGTACTTAGGTATAGCAGGGTAGTAAGTCTTGACGGTCCAGATAGAACTTTATTACGTAGGTTTTCTCAATCACCATGACCATATAAGCCCATGGGCGATTGGGGCACTTTTGCTATCTTCCAAATAAAATTTGTTTTTTGTTTGTTTATAACATGTCTTGCGTCCATGTTATCGTTATCGCGCTCAAACTTGTCTATTTGCCGTCATGTACAACGGTCTATTGTAAGTTTTATCCGATAAAGCATTGAGCAGGCCCATCAAAAATGTCAGATGATCTGTCTATGTAAATGAGATTTTTCATAAACGTGCGAATGAAACTGTGTGAAATAGTTTTATTCGCTGTCTATGCAAATGAGATAACGTGTTAGAGCAAGGTATCAAGCAATAAAGCACAGTAAAAGTTGTATAAACGGGTTTTCTTGGACCTAAAGTTGTGTATCCGTTAAAAGGGGTTATCATCTGCAACTGTACTACGAGTCAACAGGACACTCTCAACTTATTAATATCTATACATACAACATACAAAAAGCCACAATCACATTAAAAAAGATAGTCAGCGTGGTGTTCAACATACGATGTGAGTTCCAACACGGCCAGTAGTGTGATTAGCAGCATTATCAAATCGTGTATTCGTGTGCAACCCGCAACAAAAACATGTCGAGACGAGAAAATCAGCGTGATACAAGGCTACTTCATCTTTTAACAATATTAAGGCTCAAGAGCGTTTTCTTGAGCTTGCAGCAGTGCTAATTAGCTCATGTGTCCATTTTGTGCGCAAGAGTATATATGTCTTCAAAATGCTTAGCGCGCATGGAGTGTAATTTTGGCTCAGCAGAATCGATTTATTGCGTAAATTTAGGCAATATGAAAGCGATTGAGTTAGTTTGAGAGAAAGTGAAAATGTTGTGCAAACTTA